AAGAAGTACCAAGGTTCGCTGGATGAAGAAGGAGTATAGTAGTGACATGTATTTCTCTTCCAGGAAGAAGAGGAGGAGGAGGAGGACGTCATGTCAGGAACCGGTTTCCAGGCCTTGAGTCTTGGCGCAAAAAACCAGAATCCTGACATGGAGTGCTGATAAAAATGTGCAGCTGGTGGCCTTGGGGGGAAGCAGTTGGCATTTGGCGGGGAATATTGCGCGGGATTCTCGGCCGGCGGGAAAGGGGAATTCAATTGTGAGGGAGGGTATATAAGGGTTAAACTGCGGCTGCAGGCCAATCCTGGCTTTCTTCGTGTATGAATGTCCAGCAGTAAAAGTTCCTGATTGATTACGGATTGGCATCCTGTGTCGTTATTGGGAGCGGCTGCTGTGAGCTTACACAGTGCTATGTGAGGATGTCAAATAGGGCTTTCGCAGCCAGGGCATACCAATAGTGCAATACCCACCCTTGGAGGCCCAATTCAATCTACACTGGTTTCATTTAGGTGCCAAGGAAAAATAGGACTATTAATTAAAACCTTTGGGCCTTCTTAGTTTACAGCAAATGCTATACAAAGGATATTTAAACTTTTAAAATCTGTCTTAACCTGTTCAATTTTTTATGACACATTTACAATATTTGTATTCTGAGATCTTTCAGTATTGGATGCACTAAAACATCATATTCATATGCATAAAGAAATAAAATTAAACAAAATGTACTATTTACCAGGAGACAACAGTGTGCACAAGGAAAAAAAGGTAGAGAAGGTGAGAGGAAATGCTTGGGCCGAGATGGAAAAATGTAATCTCAAATGTAACTTGTCATAGCTAACCCCTACCCTTCTCTCACTCTTTTCACATAAATAGATTCAACCACTAAGTAAGTATTCTCAGGAAAAAGCTGGTAGTGTGGCATAACGGAAACATCTACAGAGGTAGGACAAAGGGTATCAGGACAGCAAAGACAGTATCTCCTGCATCTCTTCTATACACAGTGGGTAGCAGCAGCAGCACATCAAAGACAACTCAGGAACAAAAGGAAAGCCCCTTTCAGGAAGAAAACCTCAAATGAACTCCTTTCAGACACAGTGAAAATAGAGATTGTAGGCAAGTACAAGGCAAGGCATTATATACACCATCACTTAAGAACGTAAGAAGAACCAAGACCTATCTAGACCAGCGTTTTATTTATACCAAGGTCAACTACTTGCCCATGGGAAGTCCAAAGAAGAGCAATCCCTTGGAAAGATAAAATGATTAGGAGTCACTGCTATCCTCTCTGAAAGTTTGAAAACTCAATATATCTTCTCATACCAGATTCCAGCAGAATGCACTTTTATTTTGCCTATTCAACATCAGGAGACAATCAATTCAACATCAGGAGACAATCATAGGTCTCTAATCACCCTCTCTGCACCAAGGGATGGGCAAAATAAAGACCTTGAGGCCACTAGTTATCCCCAATAGCTGTTCCTTCAACTCATTCAAGAGCCCAATTGTCATTTGTAGCACCAAAAATGTATTTGTTCCTTACAGTCCAACTATATTTATACCAGAGTGAAGTTCTCTTGGGCTAAGCTTGGAAACAAACCTCATGAGCTCACAAAAGCAATCTCTAAACAAGATATGAGCTCCAAAAGTTCATATCAAGCTCAGATCAAAATTTCAACTGGAGAGAATTTGCCTCCAAAATCTATATTTAACACCACCATCATTCTATAAGCTCTCCTCTTTCCTTACCGACAACTGACAGGTCAGAGCAGCAAGACTAGAGGAATATGTCAAGGAGGAAGAGAAGTGTTTCTCCTCCTTTGCTCACCACCACACTGTCCTGTGAAGACCACTTTGGGACTTGACACACTGATAACAATCAGCATAATGAGGTATAGGAGGAAAGTGGGAGATGTGATTCTTCTGATCACCATAGTATGCAGGGCAACTACAAATTCCATAGTTATCTGCCTGCCAATGTACTATTGCCCAGTGTTGGGTGTCAAGATGACTTAAAGGAGCGCACAGGAAGGGAGAAACACATCTTGCTATGTTCCTTTTCTGCTGCTGGTCCTGGGAGAGCACTTAAAGGTAAAGAAAAGGGAAACGGAAAGAAGATACGTGCTTTCAGAACTCAGGAATGTTTGAAAGAAGAGTGGAATAAAGTGACAGAGATCATAGAATCATAGAATCACAGAATCAAAGAGTTGGAAGAGACCTCATGGGCCATCCAGTCCAACCCCCTGCCAAGAAGTAGGAATATTGCATTCAAATCACCCCTGACAGATGGCCATCCAGCCTCTGTTTAAAAGCTTCCAAAGAAGGAGCCTCCACCACACTCCGGAGCAGAGAGTTCCACTGCTGAACGGCTCTCACAGTTAGGAAGATGGACAGATAATGGGTGTATCGACATTCCCCAAGTTACAGAAATCCGACTTGCAAACGACTCAAAATTAAAAATAGGGATTAGAGGAAATCTACCCCTAGAAAGGGAAATTCACTCCTATAATAGTTATCATGGGGAAAAGGTGTCTCTACTGAAGCTTTCTCACCAATCCTTGTTTTCATACCAACACAAACTTTGCCAAATGCAATTGACACAGGGACAGAAAAGTAAGGTGAAATCTTCTGAACTGGGGCACAGGCAGCAAAACAAATGTTATAAGTGTGTTGACTCTTCCCTAAGCTATCCATAGAGTGAAGTTACACTTAACAATGTACCTTGTTCCAACTTAAATTCAAATTCAACTTAAGAACAAACCTTCATAACCCAGGGACTGTCTGTATTCGCACCACATGATTTCAAGACTTGGCTTCCATGTTTATGGATTCATCCTATGGAATCCAGGAGTTGCAGTAGGGGAAGGAGTATTTTGATCTGCAGTTTAGGGATATGTGTTATAAGCACTCTCTGTGAGGGAATTATAACTACTTCTTCTGAACTACAAATATCAGGATGCCTCAAAGGTGGAGCCCTCGCAGTTAAAGTAGAAATACCAATGTTTCCAAGGTCTCTGTAGAGATTGGAAAAAGTTACCTGGAAATTTTATTTTCCTTGCATTTTCTTTTCAAAAAAAAACTTGAGAAAATGTTGTACGGTTACATGGACTCAAAATCCAGGTATACAAATTCACTTTAAAGTTTACCTTTGAGTAATGTTCTGAAATATTTTTACAAGATATATAAGTGGTATTTGTCTCCAGAGAGGCTTTATAAGATGTATAAAGGCAGTTCCAGTAAATGTTGAAAATGTTAGAAATAATGTTTGAATATTTTATCATATGTGATGGTCTTGCAAAAAAAAAAGCCCAGAAATACTGGTCTCAAATACTTATGATGTTGGAAGAAATTGTTAAAGTTTTATTTGTTAAGAATACTGGATTATTAACAAGAAAGAAAGTATAGAAGACTACTACAATATATGGTTTACTGCAGCAAGAATAATTTATGTGCAGAGAGGGAAAGAACCTGTCATTCTGACACAAGAAGAATGACTGACGAAGATTTACAAACTAACTAAGATGGACAAACCGATGATGCTGACTGAGGAGAAATCCCTGTCCAACTTCATGATTGGGACTTATTGATTTATCATTTTTCTACAGCAAAGATGAAGACAGACTTCACCCACTGGATCTATGAATTGGGGGAGAATTATTAAAAGTAGAAGCATGGGTATACAGTGTTATCTAAAGGGAGTAAGAAAGCAAGGCAATGAGTGTAAAGTTTGTAGAATAGTCACAGCAGTTATGTGTCTATTATATGTTTATTGGTGTGTTATATATTAGGGTGACTATCTCAGATATGTGTTGGTTGTAGAAGCTTTAATTTATATATTATGAAAAACTGTTCTTTTTCCTAATCTTTTCCTTTATTTATGAATTAAAATTAATTTCAAAAATAAAAATGAAAAAGATTTCAGAAAAAGTCTTGTTGAATCCAAGACAAGAACCAAAGATGTCACCCGTTTCTGATGGTTATGTCGTGTCCCTTTTGGTCTATTTCCATACGAAGCCATTTAGGAATCTTCTGCCAACATAAACACAGCTATCACTGTGCTGGCACGGCTGTGCCAGGAGATCTGCATTTCTTTTCTTGCACTGTTAGTTTGCATAAATCTATTCAAGCTATGCTTTTTTGCAATTGGGTAGCTTTCCCCAGGTTGCAATCATAGGGCCAACAACCTATCAATCATCATTAGAGTCTTTAGATCTGCCCCTTTCCCCAGGTTTTGGAGGGAAAAGGGGACTTTCAGTTCAGTTCAGTCTCACAGTTTGGAGCCCTACAGTAGGACGTGTGGGCTTTTTCTCTACCCCACCTGTAAAAAGTTTTGCTTCTTACAGCTCTGCCAGGGTCAAAGATATAGATCTACAGCCAGCCTTTGCTGGGGAAAAAGGAAAACCTCTACAGCTTTGCTGGGGAGTAAAGTTGCAGTTCCACAGCCTTTGTGGAGAAACTGAAAGGACACCAGCTTGGCAGATCGGCAGCAACCATTGCCTGGTAAGGGACCACTCAGGCTATCTATAACGCAGCTTGGAGCCGGGAGTTGGGGCCTCACGCCAGCAGGGTTAAGAAAGTTTGCCCAAGGAGGGGTCAGAAGGTTTCCCTAAAGAAGATAGGAACAGTTTATCAAGTAGTTGCCTGTCCCTTGTTGGCAGATCGAGAAAGCTACCAGTTTTCAAGATTATATGGCATTTTATTCATTTGTTTGAAGATTTAAGCCTTAATAAAGAACTTTGTTGGACTTATTTGAGCCTCTACAGAACTTTGTTTTGGGAAACCTATGGGACCCTTTAGCTGAGGCACCCCGGCGTCCCATTGGGCATACAGAAAGCATGTCCTATAAACAGACATTGTCATAGGCCCAGCGCGTGACAGCACAATCACCATTTTAAAACCAAAGCGATCATCAAACGGAAGGCCTAACAGAACCAAGCAATACTTTGACATCACTGAGTTATGGGGCATCAACCTGGGAGGGAGAAGGGCAGTAGCAAGAAGCTTACACAATATTTGTGAAGTAGAGCTCTCCAGGGCTTGTTCCCCAATCTTTGGAAGTGGAGCAACATAGACATCAACCTCCTCAGCTAATGCTGTAGAAATAAAAAGGGGAGAGGGAAGATAAATTAAAAACCCAATTTGAGATTCAAGTTATCTCTGGGTGAAAAACAACAGGTCACAAAGGAGGACAATGTGAAATTGTTTTGTAATAGAATCTAGATGCCTCTTTCTGAAAAAAAGAACCAGGAAAACAAATGACAGATTTTGAAAGCGGAAATCTATCATGATCAGATGTCAGTACATACCCTGTAGTCCAGCACTGTAATATATATTATTTTCCCTCTCACATTCATACATGTACAAACACACTTGCTCCAAGCTCCTACAATCATTCTTTTAAACAGAACGGCATATGTTCAAGGCTTTCAAGTTAAATAATTTGAGCGTTTGTTTATTTGCATGTTTAATGTCTTCATGCCACCCCAATATCTAAGGCCCTTAACAAAAACAGCTCAAAACAATAAAAATACAGCCAGGAGCTGCGGTGGCACAATGGGTTAAGCTCTTGTGCTGGCTGAACTGCTGACCTGAAGGCCGGCTGTTCGAATCCAGGAGACAGGGTGAGCTCCCATCTGTCAGCTTCAGCTTCCCATGCAGGGACATGAGAGAAGCCTCCCACAGGTAACACATCCGGGCTCCCCCTGGGCAACGTCTCTGCAGACGACCAATTCTCTCATACCAGAAGCGACTTGCAGTTTCTCAAGTCGCTTCTGGCAATAGAAAAATAAAGCAATTAACCAAGGAAATAAATTGAAACCAGGCTAAAAGAAAAAAAAAGAAAGATAGAAGTAGGGATGGAAATTACAAGTAGAGAATGTCTATGGCTGAATGACCCTCAATGACTGAAGAGTCTCACAGACATTCTTAAATTCACAAAGTGATATGAAAGGTATTTTGAATTTGTATGCTTATCTTCAGTGATTAATGTACATATAAACAATGGGCAGCCTACTTTCTTTCTTTGCATATAAAATGCCATCTTTTTAAATTGCTTCTGCTGTAACAAAAATACACTTCCTAAATGTTAGTTTGACTCAGAACATGTATTTACCAGCAGCATTTTCTTAAAACCACAAGAGGTTCTTAAAAATCCTGCTTTAAAATCACACTTTTGTTACCTTCTCCTTTTTTAGGGCATGACAGAAAATACTGTAACGATTGAAGAGAAGGAATTTTTTTTATCCCCAGGCACTATTTCAGTGTTTGTATATATGTGTGTGCGAACACACCTTTAAATCACTTGCTGACAGATAGACACCTCCATACATTTAATAAAGCAATAAATAAATGACGCAATGAATGCTGAAGAGATGGATTTGCCATTTCTGTCCGCTGAAATATAGTCTAGGACTCATTGGCTGTCTCCCATCCAAGTTTAACTCATTGTCCCCAGTGGCGCAATGGGTCAAAGCCTTCTGCCAGCAGGACTGATTGACTGACAGGTTGGTGGTTTGAATCCGGGGAGCGGGGTATGCTTCCATCTGTTGTGCTCCACTCCCCAAGTGTTGTGACTCAGCTGGAGCTTCAGGAAGAGGATGATGGGTTTCAGATTCCTGAACATATTCCTGTTGTTGATACAGACAATTTTGATGCTGAAAATAAGGAGTTTCAGTTTCCCATGGCAAGGGATGTTGTCTTAGAAGATGTTTCTGATCTTAGTGAAACTTCACAGGTGTAGGTAAGGGAGGCGAACTAGCCTGTGAGCTCTCTGCCTGCCGATTCCCAGTCCCAGGATAATAAGTTATTGGACCTTGAAGGCTCTGCAGATTTAGATAGGGAGGACCGCTTGCAATTTAGGATTCGCCGCAATACAAGGCTTGCAAACAAGAGAGAGGTTAGAGGTCAAAGGAATTTTTTCATGCTGGGAAAGTATATTTAGTGAGCTGATTGAAGTCACCCTTTTGTCAGTGCAACTTCGGCAAACACCTTGATAACTTCTCTGGATTGCCTTGGCTTTTGGGCAATGCTTTTGGCTTCTTGGGACTTTGATTTGGACCTTGGCTTCTTGGGACTCTGTCATGCTGCCATGGAATCTTGTTTGATCATTGCTTATGGAATATGCTTCATGTTATTTGACTTTGGACTTTGGAAACTCTGCCTTTGCATTTAAAACTCTGTTTGACTATTGAACTTTTGCAACTTTATTTTTGTGTTTAAGACTTTGCCTTTTCTTTAATAAACTACAAAACCTACAGCCTTGGAGTGTGTGGTGTTCTGAGCAAGGTGAATCTATCCTGAGGTGCGACACCAAGCGGGGAAATGAGAGAAGCCTCCCACAGGATGGTAAAGCATCAATCATCAGGGCATCTCCTGAATGTCCTTGCAGACAGCCAATTCTCTCACACCAGAAGCGATCTGCAGTTTCTCAAGTCCCTTCTGACACGGAAAAACAAATCCAAGTACTAGCCAGGGCTAACATTGATACAAAGATCTACCTCTTTAAGAAAAAGACTTTAAAATCATTCTTTCAAAAATTACATCCTGCATGGTGCAGTCTCAACCAACATAGACCCAAAATATAAACATAGACATCCCACCACAGTGGTCAAAAGAGGAAGCTGCTGTGACAGTTGCCAGAAAATGGGAATGAGCAGTCAAGAAGATGCCATGGTTTGTGAGGACTTCTGTTAGAGATCCTCTTCTCTAATTCTGAATTACAATTTGTCAACTGTATCATTGGCAGATGAGAAACTCCCTCTCTTCTTCCCTTCCTCCCCTCATTCTTGGCTCCAGGAAGTGTATAGCAAAAACTTTGTTTTCTTCATGTAACCCAGAGAGCTTGAGTGAAAAAGAAAGACATTAAGTTCTTCCAAGCTTTCTCAAACTTTGGAAAACCTTTCAAATGTACCCGAGTCTACAAAAATTACTTGGTTAAACTACATATCTTTGAATCGTCATGTTGGCTGGGGGATTTGTAGAGAGTCCGGGAAGTATTCACTCTTTTGGCTTCTTAGTTATTTGGACAACTTCTCCCAGAATTGCCATTATTGAGGGTTCAAGTCACAAAAAATAACTTTTTCCATGATGTGTTGTTGAACAAGGAAGACCCATTTGCACTCACTGTTTGGGTGTTTCAATCAATGCACTGCTGCAACTAAACTAAAATGAGCAACCGTTTTGTATTCTGTTCAATGAAATTAAGGTAGATCTTCATGGCTGGACAAGGCTAGAGCCGGTTATGGATGAGACCAGAAATCAAAATATCTGAATCCACCTCTTTCATCCTACTCACTGGAGCCCCTAGTGGCGCAGTGGGTTAAACCCCTGTGCCGGCAGGACTGAAGACCAACAGGTCATAGGTTCAAATCCAGGGAGAGGCGGATGAGCTCCCTATATCAGCTCCAGCTCCTCATGCAGGGACATGAGAGAAGCCTCCCACAAGGATGACAAAAACATCAAATCATCTGGGCATCCCCTGGGCAACATCCTTGCAGACGGCCAATTCTCTCATATCAGAAGCGACTTGCAGTTTCTGAAGTCCTAACACGACAAAAAAAATCCTACTCACTTTTCTTTCTGTTGTTGCTGTGTGCTTTCCAATCAACTTGTGGTGACTTTAAGGCAAACACACCATAAGGTTTCATTGACAAAGTGCCTTTGCCCTCCTTTTAGTCTGTGTATGACTTGCCCAATATCACCCAGTGAGTTTCCATGGCTGAGTAGGGATACCACAAGTGGAAAAGGTCAGGTAGCTGATCCCAATAATATACTGTGAAGATTAAGCATTTTAATTTGCTCTTTCTTCATCTTTTTCGTTTCTAATAATTTAAAGATATAGCTTTCTTTCTTATTTAAAGCTCATACTCCTAACTACACAAAACTGATTTCAAATTGCACATTTTAATTTTCTGTGGCGCCGAATACATCCGCTTGTACTTTAGAAAAATGCCTGCAGTGCTCCTCAAAGCGCAAGCTGACCCCAGATACATATGTTTAAACAGCAGACAGCCCATTGCAAATGGGGAGATAGCAACCCTAAACATATTTCTTCCACTCCACATCCTGTTTATCTCTCCTTGGTTTGGTAGAACAAATAATGATCCCTCTTTCCTGATTCAGCGTATTCTTCTAGTAGCGTAACCAAGCTATGAATCAGGAAACCTTCTGTTTAAATGCTCATCTGGCTCTGTCATTAATTCACTAAACGGTCTTAGGCAAGCCACAATTGCTCAGCCACAGACCTCTGTCAGGGACATCACCTTCCTTATAAGGTTGAGTGTGTGTGTGTGTGCATGTATGCATGCACGCACACCTTCAAGCCCTTGTTTAGTTATGGTGACCACATGAATTTTATATGGTTTCCTTAGGCAAGCCCTTTAGGGAGCCCCTGGTGGTGCAGTGGGTTAAACCACTGAACTGCTGAGCTTGTTGACCAAAAGGTCACAGGTTTGAATTTGGGGAGTGGCATGAGCTTCCGCTGTCAGTCCCAGCTTCTGCCAGCCTAGCAGTTCGAAAAATATGCAAATGTCGGTAGATCAATAGGTACCGCTCTGGCGGAAAGGTAATGGTGCTTCTTGCAGTTCTGTCAGCCACATGAACTTGGAGGTGTTCATACAAGATTACTACTACCACATCCATTCTAGATTATTAAGTATGGTTTTCTGTGTGTGAGGATATTGGCATATGTTCTGTATCAGAAACTAGAGCTAAAGTGGTCTACCCAATGCAATGGACAACAAGTTAAACATGAGCCAACAATGCCAAGTGGCGGCAAAAAAGCCAATGGGATTTTGGCCTGCATCAACAGGAGCATAGATCTAGGGAAGTAATGCTACCCCTGTATTCTGCTTTGGTTAGACCACACCTGGAATATTGTGTCCAATTCTGGGCACCAAGAGAGACAAGCTGAAATGTGTCCAGAGGAGGGCGACTAAAATGATCAAGGGTCTGGAGAACAAGCCCTATGAGGAGCGGCTTAAGGAGCTGGGCATGTTTAGCCTGAAGAAGAGAAGGATGAGAGGAGATATGATAGCCATGTGGGAGGAAGCCACAGGGAGGAGGGAGCAAGCTTGTTTACTGCTTCCATGGAGAT